TATATATACTGTATATTGGATGTTCAGCTGCATTGATATATATTATAGCTGTGATGATCACGTGTCTKTTCTCTGTTTGCAGATGCCTTCAGAATAAATGAACATGAGGAATTAAGAAATATAATCCAAGCTGAAAGAAATAGAAAATCTGCAGCCAAAGATGAAACTGTCCACGTGAATGAATGCTTCATCTGTAAKAATATTATCCTCCCACACATGTTTTTATTTAGATTGTATTGTCAGGATCGCCCTCAAACCTCAGTGGAAAAATTACACCTTTAAATACGTCAGTGTAGAAACATTAGATATTTCTCTTTAAATTGTTTAATTATTTTATTGAACATTAGTTAAATAAACACAGCAGCACACAATAAGACTGCAAAATTCAATGGAAAGTGTTTTTCTTTCTCTCAATTAGTGTCTTTTTCAGATTTGACACTTCTCTCTTTTGATGCCGAGCTTCCGTTCACTTCATCTGTTTCTTCTATAATGATCTGAATCATTTGCTGACAAAGCCTCGTTTCTGTTGGCCGTCCATTCCTCCCAGAGAGAAACTTCTGTCCAAGGATGTTGTCAAGACGACTGTGTTTCTAACGGTGACTGTGGCGGCGCTGTGGCAACCGGACAATTCAGTTCAATTAGATTCATTAGTGTTTTTAGGTGTTTAGGCTCCAGGTGAGAAACATCTTAACTACAGAGAAAAGTTTATACACAAAAGCATCGCGCACCGCTGGATCAGTGACTCATCGCGGTGTGTCTTCATCCTCAGCATCAATAAAACCATTCAGCATCGTTTCTCCTATAATTCTTCTCTTTCCACAGGTGCCAGCGTTTCTCTTAAAGGAATGTGGAGGATYAAGCCAGACAATAAAAGATTTATAATCCCTCGATTGAATTGGACCCTTCTTTTCACCTGATTACATGACGAATGCATGTGTGTGACGGACTCTGGTCGGTTTTGGATCATGTTAGTAAAAAAAGGTAAAAGAAAAGTGGAACATTTTCTCACCATAGACAAAAGTCACTTGTCAGAGATGATGCTCATGAGGATGTTTCAAATTGAGCGACCTATTTTAAAACTGCTGTGATTCTTCATTATGTGGGTGGTCTAACGTGTGTGTGCGTGTGTGTTTGTGTGTGTCAGAGGGCTTTATAAAAGGTCTGAAGGGTCGAATCAGATTTCAGTTTAGGGTTGAATCATCAGAAGAGCAGCTCGGACCAACTGGGACACTGTAAGTATCAGTTTATTTATGTTTTCTTAACTATTCTTAATATTTTGTAACTTTGAAAACTGTTTGCTTTTATAAAAATTACAGTTTTTATAGCTGTCAAATAGTTCTGTCACTCACATGCAACCTTATTTTTGTGAAGTTTTTGGTATAATTTTAGAAAAAAATCACTGAAAGTAGCTCTCTACAACTAGATTAATGTAAAAATGAAGATGAGAGGGACTTCATCTTTCATTTATTTGATTTAGACGTTGGAAGTTTATCTTCAACATTCTTAACATTAAGTTTATTTATAACATGCTGTTGTTTCTGTACCACAGAATCTGTTCTGCATTAGCATGCATCAGCATTATTACAACAAAAATGGATATTAATTACACAAACCACCATTTATTTTAGCAACACTGACCGTGTTGTGATTATTTTACTAATCAGTCAATGATTCACCACTAAATAAATGGATGATGTTTTCCTTTCACATAACAAGATATTTCTTTGGTTTTTCAGTCAGAAGATGCAGATATCCCACCGGTCTGCGCAGTTGTTTGCTGTCATGGTTCTTTTCATCTTGACAACCGTCCAGGGTCAACAGAACGAAAAGTGAGGCAACTATTGTTTCTTTATTATTTCATCTAGAACTCTKTTTTCAGATAAACTGGATGTTGAGATGTAACGATAAACAGAAGCCTTAAAGTTTTTTTATATATATATTTATATTATTTATGGAGATGTGAAATTACTTTGTGCAACAAAACAGCAAAAATATTTCAAAGCTGCCAATCGGTTTCTCTTCAGGATTGTTCCTCTTCCTTACTTATAGATTAACTAAAACAAACTTTGTTCTACAGAATAGAATAGAATAGAATAGAATAGAATAGAATAGAATAGAATAGAATAGAATAGATCTTTATTTCAAAGCAGACAAAAAAAACAATAAAATGTGTATAATGTATACATAAATGTACATTTTGACCAACTTACAAGGTCATCCGTATGAAAAGGAGAAGTAAAACTTAGATTTTATTATTCTTTTTTTTACTTCTTAATATAATTCAGACTTTTTATTTTTTTCTGTTTATATATATTCTGTATGTGATACAGAATTGAACTTGTTTTCTGGCGTTTCTCTAAACTCCTGGCTGCTTACTTCACTATAAAACTTGACCAAAGACATGTTTCTTGAAGCTGGATGAGCTCCTCTTAGAACAAAAATAGTTTTTTTTTTATTTTCTGGTCAGATGAGTTCATGTTTTTGCAGGATTTGGACAGAGACAGACAATAGTTTACAGGAGATGAAAAGTTTAATTTAAGATGTCTAAATGAGGATCTGGGAAGATAAGAGATGACAAATCTCTCTCGTTAGTTTGATGATGCAGAGACATTTTGTCATTGTTGGGTAAATTTTGAGAAGTGAACCTTGTTTTATTGTGATCAATGTTAGTTTGTGTTGTTTTGGCAAGTGTAAGTAAACCTGATCTTGTTTTAGAATAAAATGTTTTCTTTTCTGAAGACCGAAGCTGTGAGGCATTGCTTTGACTTGTGTTTGGTTTCCCTGCAGCCGCCGGGCTGTGACCGAACACCAGCTGATGCACGACCGTGGTCGAAACATCCAGAGTCTGAAGAGACTCATCTGGCTCTCCAGTGCGATCGAAGGTCTCCACACTGCGCAGGCCCGCTCGGCTGCTTTCACCCCCACAAAGGTCCTGGACTCGGCCCTGAATCCGGTGCTGATCCCTGCTGCAGGGAGCTCCCAGCCCGCACAGGTCCAGAACATCCTGAGAGACTTCTTTTACCCTCACTTGGCTCATCTGTTGGAAGAAGAACCTTGACACCACACCGATGCACAAACACGATACTTGTACATAGGAAATAAATACTTTGTGTCATTTTTTTGTATAACAAAAAGCCTACAGCGCAACACCAAAATGATCTGTAGTCCCAAGACCCTCATTCAGCAATAAATGTGTCCAAATATCTAAAATATTATGGTCCATGTAAAGTTATTGTTTTTTTCTTTATTTTTTTTTCTTTTTGTCTGTATTTTTTGTAGAGGTTTTCAGCAGTACACAGATATTTTTCCCAAACTTTATTCATTTCTTTCAAAATAACAAAATTAATTTATATACAATAAAAATACAAATCACAAATAAAATGAAAGGCGGCAGAAATGAGAAAAAAATCTGCACCTTTTTCTTCCCAAAATTAAAGTTTTAAACAATAAAAATCTACAAACAAGAAAAATGAAACAAAAACAACCTCAAATTCCAACATTTCACATGAACACACATTATATTGTTTCATATTTCTTTAACAAAGTGGCTTTTATCATTCACTTAAACATAAACATTGATCTGGCATTTTTGACATCACTCTCCAGATTTTTTCAGTCTTATTCCTTATTTTGAAGTACACCGCTCCCTCGAAATCCAGGTTTCACAAATATCTCTACCCCCTTCAGATTATAACAACTTTCTTTCTTAACAAAATTTAATTGGTTGTTTAAAGGTAATATACATTTGTGAACCTGTAAAATATAATCAACCAACTCATATAACTTCAATAATTTCAACTGATAAAATGATACATTTGATGGGTGACTGTGGGGTTTTCTTACAGCTCTTTTCTGTAAAACAAAATAGGGTTTATAATTGTTTTGTATGCTTTCCCCCAGACTTCAACACAATAAATCAAGTGTGGGACAACCATTTATACAACATATACAGAGCTCTATCAATAAACAACTCCCTTACTTTATACAGTACTCCTATAGATTTAGCAATTTTTGTTCTCAGATAATTTATGTGAGGTCTGTCAGCTTTTCATCACTGATGACACCCAGAAACTTCACCTCACTGACTTTACAGATCTCAACACCATCAACTCTAAACAGATGATCAATAATTCCCTTTCTAATACCGAATATCATACAGTTAGTTTTATCTAAATTTAATAATCATTTATTAAGTTTAGACCAATTTTGTATTTTCACAAATTCTGCTTGCATCATTTCCAACATCTGTTCTTATGTCTTTACTCGAACAAAAATGTAGTGTCATCTGCAAATAAAACACATTKAAACAACCAACAATACAGTATTAGAAGCCAAAAACACTTTGTGCACCTGTAGTTATGTTCACATGTAGTAAAAATATTTGTTACAAAAAAAACTTTTTCTGGATATCAAAAGTTCTATTAAGTCCCCTTTGAATGTTAATTATCTTCAAATTAAAAATATAAGAAATACGTTACCTTGGAGGAATTCCTAATTGTAAAGACAATAAAAAGACAAGCGTAACTTTTATTGGAACTTTTTATTATTGTTATTATTATTATTATTATTAGTAGTAGTAGTAGTAGTAGTAGTAGTAGTAGTAGTAGTGTAAATCAAAAGGAGATGACGTCACTGGCTGTTTGCCTGGCAGATCGCATTCAGGGTAATTTTCCCCACATCATAAACCTCGCGAGACTTCTGTGCTTGCTAACGATAATTAGCTAGCTGTGTCAACTCCAACAACACCGGGTCGTGGACATTTCCTTCCCAGCTGCAAACACCGCTCCGGTGTTCCAGGTCACGCACAGTTGATTAAAAAGACCACCGAAGACAGATATTGACTGTCGGACTGAAACACCCTGACTGCCCTGTGGAGTGTTCGCGACTCGCGTCCTTAAATCGGCAGGTCAGTCACTGTTACCTTCGTAGTAGCTGTTTTTTGGGGAGGGTTAGCTGCTCATGCTAGCCTAAATAGGCGCAGTAAACTCCCTATTAAAAAACTCTGAAGGTGTTGCGGCATACTTCCCAGTGGAAGTATGTAGATGATATACCAAAACGATTAAAACTGAGGAATAAATAAACAGGCGATAATTCCGCAGCTAATTTGCTCGCTGTGCTAATCGTACAACTTGTACAGCTACTCCTCATCAGCGAAGCTAACAGAAAGTAAGCTAATGCCGAACAGGATTGATTTTTGAAGATTTGTCAGCGGTTCGTGTACTGCATATGGCTTAAATGAGGTGTTAAGGAACACAAATACATTTAGTCATCACTCTGCATTTGGCTTTCACAGCTTTCTGAGTATCTCCTGTYAGAAACACATAAAATAAAGTGCAACGTGATGGCACGTTGTGGAGTTTGTAAGTTTGGTGCTGGTTTCGATTGATCGGTGACAGAAACGTGACGTTTTTCTTAGGCAAGACATCGTATGCTTTTTCTCAAATAACAGATGATTTTAGGTGAAGTATTTGTTTGTCTGCAGCATCTGGTTTGCAGTGTCATCAGTTTTATCAGGGAAGATGTTTGTTTATCAGGCATGACACAATCTGCACGTGTCATGCCTGACATAATACATCACTCTAAAAGCCTTAATAATGATGTCCAAAAATCTTAAACTCACTTCTTTGTATTTTGCTTTGCATGACATTTTAAAAAATGCCATGAAGTGGGGATAAGAGGATGTATAGTTTCCTGCTAACATTTAAAATGATTATCTTTTGCCAAATGACTAATCACCTTTAGTTTTTCAGGTGAAAATAAGTGTTTTTCACATGACAGTATTTTTCCCCCCCCCCTGTCCCCAGGAATTATCCAGTCTCACTGTCAGGACAGTGGCAGAGGCAGAGCCGTCAGCAGTGAAACCATCAGGCAGTAGGGCTCCATGAGCACAGCGGGGCAGCAGCAAGGGGTGGGCCTGCGTTCTCGCCGAGTGCTTGGCCGGGACAAGGACCCTGGTCAAGGCATGGGCATGGAGGCGACCTGCTGGCTGGCCCCYGGAGTGCTGCGCAGACTAATCGAACTTCCCTCTCCCCCTCTGTCTCGACACCAGCTCAAGAGACTGGAGGAGCATAGGTACTGGATTCCTGATGTTTTTTTTCGCTTTATGTCTTTATATTTAATTAATATGTACAGTAGCTAAATTAAATCTTTAACTGAAGAGATCCTGTAAAGACTTTATTGTAAAGCATAAATATCCCATATATACTCAGACAATATTGTTTACTGTACTATGTAAAACATCTTTTATGGAGGACCGAAACTGACATAATTAAAAATAAAGCAGAAATATATAAATGGACCGATGAATAAATACAATTAAAATGCCCCAATTAAATTAAAAAAGGAAAATGTTACCTCGTTTTCTAATTTAATTGACTATCAAGTCCTTTCATTTCCATGTGTTGCTTTTACATATATCTATAACTATAGATAATGTAATGTAATAATTAYGTTGTATTTGTTATTGTTTATTTTCTGCTCTGTGTATAAAGTAGGACTCCAAACTAAACTTGGCAGTGTCTCACCTGGCTGTTGTCTGTCTCTGCAGGTACAGCAGTGCTGGGCGCTCTCTGCTGGAGCCTTTAATGCAGAGGTACTGGGAGTGGTTGGTGGCACAGGTTCCTTCCTGGATTGCTCCCAACCTCATCACCATCATTGGCCTGGCCACCAACGTCTTCACCACGCTTGTACTCGTGTACTATTGCCCAACTGCCACTGAACAGGTTAGTAAGCTGAGAGGAAACTTAATATTGTCTTAAATGATGYGGGACAGTAGTTAGAACTGTCTCCTCTCAGAGAGAAGGTTGCAGGAATGTTAGGGAAATTGTGAAAACAGAGGCAGATGATGGTCCTGACCTAAACTACTGATAATCAGAATAGTTATTAATGGATTTTTCTKTCAATAAACATACATTACAGACATCATATCTCTCAAGTAGTTGCTTGGTTACAGTAGTGCTTCAGACAATGATAAAAACTGATATTATAAAAAGAAAAGCCCTACGTTATACTCAAAGTTAAGGTCAGGGGGTGCCTTGAAATGCAGTATAAGGCTTATATGTGTGCTGTATGTAGTAAAGCCCCAATCAGTTGTTTCCTTGTTTATTTTACCGTTATTTAACCATTGAGATTGCAGATCTCTTTTTGCAATTGCGGCCTAGGCCTGAAGGCAACAGGTAACAGTCTGAAATGTGCACATGTGCAATAATAATAGTCAGAACACTGACCTAATGACTGAGTTAGACTCAGTTTGCAGACCTCATTGGAGCATGAGTCTGTCATGACTGTTTTTTCCTGCAATTTTGAATTTTTCTGCTTTTATTCTCATTTTTATCTAATTTCATCTTGATAAAATAAGTACAGTAATTCTTCTTCTTCTTTTTGATCTATATTTATTTTTTATTGTTACTATCTTTAGTTTTATTATTATTGCTACAGTAGATAATGTCACATACTGTTTCTATAGTTTGGATTGATGTATCTGTTGCTGCTATTACACCTGAATTTTCCCATGTGGGACAATAAAGGCTGTTTCTATTTCTATTCTATTCTAAATATTAAGTGAGGTTATTTTAAAAGGTTTCTGTTGCCTATTTTTAATTCTCATTGCTTATATTTTTATAAAAATTGAAAAAAGAACTTTACATGAGTTTGTATTTATGTGTTGTTCCAGGCTCCTCTYTGGGCATACCTTTTGTGTGCTGTGGGTCTTTTTATCTACCAGTCATTGGACGCCATTGATGGTAAACAGGCCAGACGCACAAATAGCAGCTCTCCCCTGGGCGAGCTGTTTGACCACGGCTGTGACTCCCTTTCCACAGGTGAGTTTACTTCATGCTTGAGTTTATTCCTCTACTGTAAGCTGCCATCACTCCACACTGATGAAAAACAATGTCTTTGTTAAGGTGCTGCTGCACAGAACCGTTTCTGTGTGCTGACAACGCTGCAGCATCACCTGCGTGACAACAGTGTCTTTGTTTACACACACTCCCTCACACACAGATCATTTCTAATTTGTGCCTACGTCTGTTAGCAGCTCAAAGGCGGAACAACTCGACCCGATAACATTATTGCCCCTCTGTGTCTCACAAATTAGACGGCAATGTGCAACAAAAGCGCTGTCGGTTCTGCCCTGACCGTGCTTCGTGAGCAAGTCTTTTGTCTCAGAAAACACGGGTCCATGTTGTGAACACTGTTCTGTTTGATGTGCTCGTCTCTGCAGTGTTTGTGGTGTTGGGAACCAGTATAGCGGTGCAGCTGGGCACCAATCCGGACTGGATGTTCTTCTGCTGCTTTGCTGGGATGTTCATGTTCTACTGTGCCCACTGGCAAACATACGTGTCAGGAACCCTGCGCTTTGGCATGTGAGTCAACAAAAACTGACCAAAAAGGAAAAGTTCACTTTGTTTTAGTTTGTTTTTACTTCTTTGACAGCGAATTTATAGTGTTTTTCCTTTTAAAATGACCTTTTTCAAAGCTCTTAGGATTTTATCTGATTACAAAAATAAACTGCAGAAGCACCTTTATGCCCAAATTGAACAAAAACAATCCCCACCTTAGTGAGAAATTGGTTATATTTCAACCAAATGAGGTTCAACAGCATCACAACCGTTCACCATTGCTTACACTATTTACAAAGTATTTCCTTACCCTAATAGTTCCAGTGTCAGAGTGGAAAAGTGCTTCGTTAGCTTAGAATAAAAAGATTGCAATGAGCAATTCAGACCACTAGATGTCACCACATTTCATTTTACTTTACTGTCAACAGTTAAACCTGTTTTGTTAAAAGCATAAAACACACCCATTCCCTTTGCATTAAAATATTTTAAATGCAGTGAGACACACTTGAATGAACAAGCTTTTTAATGAATTGCTAAAACACTGACCTTGAATTTGTATTTTTCCTTTTCTGTTTACTTGGACTTCATCAGTTTGGCTGCCTTATTTGAAGTTTTGAGGCAGAATAACTGATTTAAAATTTTCACTACCTCCTGCATGTTTAGCTTTACGTTGGGTATTTATATAAGGCGAAACAC